AGTTCTCCGGTCTCTGCGCTCCGCCTCCGCGCTCCGCCAGGGTTCGCGACACTCAGCTACGCAATAAAGCGGGCTTTGTTTGTTCCTTTGTACAAGCCCTGTCTTCGTCCTGCTGCAACGTCATCGCCAGACAACAATGGCCCCCTGCCTTCACCACAAAACCCTCGTCACTGGCACACAAACCAGCCTGCTGTTAATATCACCGCGTCGTGTACATCGCAGTCTACGGTCCCCGTCACGCGGCCCATGTTCTCCGTCACACAGCCCGTGGTCTCAGTCACGCAGCCCATGTTCTCCGTCACACAGCCCGTGTTCTCCGTCACACAGCCTGTGGTGTCAGTCACGCAGCCCATGTTCTCCGTCACGCAGCCCGTGTTCTCCGTCACACAGCCTGTGGTGTCAGTCACGCAGCCCATGTTCTCCGTCACACAGCCCGTGTTCTCCGTCACACAGCCTATGGTGTCAGTCACACAGCCCATGTTCTCCGTCACGCAGCCCGTGTTCTCCGTCACACAGCCGGTGGTCTCAGTCACGCAGCCCATGTTCTCCGTCACACAGCCCATGTTCTCCGTCACACAGCCCGTGGTCTGTCACGCAGCCCATGTTCTCCGTCACACAGCCTGCGGTCTCAGACACACAGGCCATGTTTTCATTCACACAGGGTGTGGTCTTTGTCGCACAGCCCATGTTCTCCACCAGAGCGCCCGTGGTCTCCGCCAGACCGCACAGCCTCCGTCCCAGCGCCGCCCAGAGCGCACTCGCCAGGCAGCGACCGAGGCGCACCGCACATCTGGTAGTCGGCCGGCCGCTGCTCACCTATGCTGACGGCCGGCGCCGCTCGCATCGTTTGTTTGTGTAACACTGGGACGGCGGCGACGGCGCGAAGCCAGCGACAGCTGCCGGCCTGATGTCACCACGTCTCGGCCGCCGGGTCAGGGCGGCAGCTGGGCTCGGTCGAGCGCGGCTGTCACGTGCACCGGCAGGCGGACCGTGTCTGTCTCGGCGCGAGCGCGACGCCGCCGCCTCCGACGCGGCCGTGTTCGGCGCGCGTGCTCTCGGGTTTGAGGCCGGCGGACTCTCGTGCGTCGCTTTCGTCGCACGTTACAGTGCGACGTGGAAATGACGCAGCGGATGGCTAACGCTGAGCTGCCGAGCTAGCTAAGCTAACGTCTGACAAGCGAAGTCAGTGGACAGCAACAACGGTCGACGGAAGTCACAGAGCGAGCGCTGGGCGCCCAGGATCAGCGCACAGCCCGGCCCGGTGGCAGCCCAGCGCGGTCTCCAGCGGTGCCTCCCGCTCCCTGTGAGGGCCTTCGGACGCTGCACGGGCGCTGCCAGCGGGAGCGCCAGCGCCTCTGTCCCGAGCAGCTGGCGCCGCCGCCAGCCGGCATCATGCCCCATAGGCGCGCGGTCACCCTTCCAGGGCAGCTGCGCGGTCGGCCGCACCCCCTGGTGCTCGACGAGGACTGTAACCGGGACGAGGGGAGAGGGAGCGGGAGCGGGAGCGGACCCTCCGCGGCCGCCGCTCTCACAGCGCCCGCCGGGGTCGGCCACCGGACCGGAGAAGGGACCGGCGGACCCCTCGCCGCGCGCGGCCCTCAAGCCGCTCACCGCGGGCGGTGACAAGAGCATGAACAAGAGCAGACGACCCCTCCCCGCCAAGGTTCTCACGGCGCTCGCCTGGAGCGGCATCCGGGCGGAGGGAGCCGGCATCCCCCCGCCCCGGCATTCACCGCGCTCTGAGCCCAGTGGTCGCCGCGTGCTCGTCCGCGCGCTCTGAGCCCAGTGGCGGCGCGCCGTTCACATGGCGGCCACGTGGCGTTGCCCAGAGGTCGCCCCGTCATCGCCCACCCCTCCCGCCCCCCCTCCCCGCTCGTTTGGCCCCGGCGTGGGAGAGCGCGCCGAGCCGCTTCGCAGGAGAGCAGGCGGACCAGCACCGTCCGGGTCTGACTCTGTGGCGGTCACCGGACCACGCTGTCGGCCGGCCCACCCAGCGCGATAGCCAGCGGCCGGCCCGACAGCACCCAAGGCCACCGGCGCAAAGTCCTGCCGGCTGTCGGCCCGGCGTCAGCGGCGGCCACCTCGCCGGTCAGCGCCACGCCCCGCCGCCGGCCGCGGACGGAGGACGGTGACGTCAGCGCCGGCCCGCCGCGCCAGCCACAGCGACGCGCCGTCAGCGCAGACGAGCGCCGCATGCACAGATGCACTGACGCTCCGACACGGGTGGGTGGACGCACTCAGACACACGGCAGCGGCCGCCGCGAGCACACAAATACACATGCTTGCGCTCACACGTGGACGAAAGCACACAGACGCACGCGTTGACGGATTCACGCCGGCACACAACGCGTCGTCAACGGTACATACGCACCGCACATACATCTGCCCGTAGAATACATCATTACAACCCAGCACAAGCTTCCATGTAGCGCGCGAGCTAAGTCCCGCAACGGGACATACACACGCATTCTCAGCCCATCTGGCAGAGGGCACAAGAGCCCCCCGGCCCGCCATCTCCCAACACAGTCCACAACATGTCCACAGCTGGTGGACAGTCGGCCCCATTCCTTGGAGTGGTTGGAGCTTATACCGGATCCTATCGCACGCCAGGACCCTCAGTCCCCCAACGAAAGCTGGGGTGCAGCTCCGCTAAATGGCCTAGTGAACACCACGAGGTCAAACCGTCCCTGCAAGAGGAGCATTTCCATAGACTAAACCCACGTCCCGGCACCCAAGGCTGACTGGCCGGTCGCTGGGTTGCGAGGCCTCGCAAAGAGTCGGACAGTCGGAGCGCTGTACGCCGCACTTTCGAGGTAGCCACACACACACCCCTGAGAGAGAGAGACAGCCGGCGGCCGCGGCCAGGCCGGGTCCGGCGGCCGACCGTCTCCCCCCTGTAGCGCGGCAGCCTCGCCGGACGTCAGGTATAACGCGCCGGACAAAGGGAGCGGCCGCGGCATCCGGGCCGGCCGGCCGCCGCCTGCGGCACGGCTGGCGGCGGGCCGCACCGCTGGGGCCGGGTTCCGAGCCGCGCGGGGGCCACGGCGCCGGCCGGGTGACACATGAGAGGTCCTGGGAGCCGACTCAGACTCGAGAGAGGAGCTGGAACCGCGCTCAGGCCCGGGAGAAGGTCCGTGACCGGGCTCGGGCCCCAGAGAGGAGCCGGGACCGGGCTCAGGCCCGGGAGAAGGTCCGGGACCGGGCTCACGCCCGGGAGAAGGTCCGGGACCGCGCTCAGGCCCCGGAGAGGAGTCGGGACCGCGCTCAGGCCCCGGAGAGGGTTCGGGACCGGGCTCAGGCCCGAGGGAGGCTCCGGGACTTGGTCCAGGCCCCGGAGAGGAGCCGGGACCGGGCTCAGGCCCGGGGGCGGCTCCAGGACCTGGCTCAGGCCGCGGAGAGGTTCTAGGATCGGATTTAGACCCGGGAGAGGTTCCAGGATCGGACTAAGATCTCGGAGGGGTTCCAGGATCGGACTCAGACCCAGGAGAGGTTCCTAGACTGCACCCAGGCCACTGAAGAGGTCACGGAATTGAACACAGGTCCCGGGACGACACCAGGTCCGTTCGGGTGAAGCCATGCTCGTATCCTGGGAACCTCCCGCCCGTCCGCTGGCGGCTCAAGTCAGCCACCAAAGTAACACGCTGCAATTGGCCTACAATTAGCCAATTAAGCGGTTGAAGGTTCCCGACAGGGTGCAGCCCGAAATCATCAACATCGGAATGCGCTCACTTTACGGGCGTGTGAAGTCCCCACCCTCCACGGCCACGAACGCGTAAGAACCGCCGCCGCCGGCCGTCCCGGGGCCGGCGGGCCGGCCGCGGTGGGAGCTGGCTCACGTGGACCCGACCCGACCGATCCGCGGCCCGACGCCCGGCGGCCGCAGAGACGTCGCCCGCCGATGGCCGCCGTTTTATTCGACGCTGATTGATGGTGGCGTCGTCGCCGCCGTCGCCCGGTAGCTGAGCGACGGCGCCAGGTGGCGTCGCGTCGATACGCGGCCAGGCGGCGACGGCCGTGCCGCGCGCACAGCTGCCGGCCGCCGTAATAGGCGACAAACGCCGCCGGCACCACCGGGGCGCGTGTGGGGTGCGAGAGGGGCCGCCGGACCGGCGCCGGGCCGGGCGAGACTCGAGGGCCGGCCACGGAGAGGCGAGAACAGGCTCCAGCAGTGGGAACAGCTGAAGACCAAGTGGGCACAGGCGGATAGAGCGGGGAAGAGGGGAGCAGGCCGGCATAAGCGGGGGAGAATGGACGAGACAAAGGGGAAGACGTAGGGCGCTGAGGCAGGGCTGAGTAGTACACCCTGAGCATCAGGGCTGGGCTGCATGACGTGGCCCGCAGGAGCGGGGGTGGGACGCCGTCGGAGAGCATGCCAGCGCCCCGGCGCTCTGCTCGTAACCGTCGGTTAGTCACCGCTCGTGCGCCGGTAAGGCCCCGACAAGCTCTTTGCAGGTCGGAAATTATGCCCAGAGGCGGGGGTGTCGTCGGCGTTTCTGGGCGCGCCAGCGACAGGGCCGATTTCCCCGCGCCCGGCGCCGATAAAGTGAGCTCTAGCGCCGGGCGACACTTGAAGCCAGTTTCTCTTGACCTTACGTCGAAAGGTGAGCGCTCTGGTCGGCGGTAACGCTGGGTACGATCGCACCATATACGGTCAGAGGCGGAGGATCACCGCCCGTCGGGGACAGCCGACGGCACCCCCGTCCGCCCCAACCGCGGAGCGGCCCGGTGCCGGTCGCGGCCCAGGGTCACCGGCACGCGCCGCTCATCACGACCGCGGGACGGCGAGCACCTGCCTGCAAGCGTCCACGGGTGGTCGTCGTCGCCAGTGAAACGTCAGGGACATGTCCGGTAACCCCCCCGAGATGTCAGATAAACATTGCGTGGGCGCAAGGCTCGCGAGCACGACTGTGGCCCTCCTCACACATCTCCGGACATCCAGATTCACGGCAAAGCCTGTCGCCAGCCAATGTCACCGCGGATCAGCGTCCCACGTAACTTACCGGGAGTAGTCTGCCAGCTAAGCCCGCCGATGAACATTTTCCTGCAACGAAAACAAGCCCCGTCAGTGTGGCCCACAATCGCCTAAGACACGAGGCGCCAGCTGATAGCGGACGCAGGCCCAAGATAATCGTCACAGATTAGGCAGGTATGCAACCGATGTCAGCGTGCAGGCACGTGAGTGTCTGGCGCCATGTGCAGTGTTACAGTTATGGGCGCGGGACTTGACGTGAAAACGTCACATGGTCTGGAATTTTAAAAAATACACGCGTGTCTATGACGTCTTATGTGCAGTTGAGACATCAAGAAAACCTACTTAAATAAACAAAAGCGGAGGCATGACCGCGTAATCAGAGCCCTCAGCGTGCCGATAATCGTGTAAACAGTTGCCCTGCCGCATGACCGCGGCCGCCAGCGAGCCAGTGTCGGCTCCGGCCAGCAGTGAGACGGCGCCGGAACAATGCCCGGCGAGCGACCTTCCCGGTGGCGCGTCCAGGCACGAGCCGGCCGGCCGGGCGCCGCGTCCAGCCCGCTGCCGGCCTGTCGCCGTCCGCAGGCGCGCACCATCGCAACACAGGCGGCGGGGTGCGGGGGCGGGCGGCCGGCGCGGCGCCGCGTCAGCGCCTGAGCACCGGCCGATGCCGCTCCGCCGCCGGCCTTTGTTTACAGGATTTGCGCCTGGCTTGGCCGGGTGGGCCCGCGCGCGCCGCCCCCGCGCCTGGCAGCGCTCCGACGTCGCCGCCGCCGGCCGCTGACTCACCCGGGGTCGTTTGGCAGCTCGGACGGCGACCCGATCGAATCTTGATTCTCCATGCTGCAGACTACCTACTACCAACAAAGCACCTACACACTAACCGAGCGGGCGCCACGCACACAACTACACCCGGCCACCGAGCGATCCAGACTGAACGCCGCAGCGGCGGCAGTGGCGGCCGTCGGCCCGCGCGCACGCGGTCCGCGCAGCCGGCCGGTACGCCTGGTACCCCTCTCCTGCCGTGATTGGGCTAAATCTCCCTGGCTTGGCGGCCGGCGCGGCAACGGCGGCCACCTATTGAGGGTTTTGTAAGCTGTGCTGTTAACTTCTGACACCAGAAGAGAATAAACCTGTGACAGTAAATATGAGAGTGGACGGCCAGGATAAGCAGGAGCAGGGACGTATTCAAAGGAGGTATCGTAACACGTGTCCCCTTATCAGATTTATATGTGTGTGCCAATATACATGCGGATAAAATGAACATAATTTGCTGCGCATGTCTCTGACATTGTGAGTGAGAGTCGAGCACTTTGTCTCCTTGGCCGGTCCTTCCACGTCGGCATCAGCTGGCCAAAATCTAACCGAGGCGCTGTAATGGCTGCGCATTTTGCTAACGTGTGAACAGCTTTAAAATATTGCGGGGGCTAAATATTAAAATATCAAAATATATGTACGGGGGGCGGCCAAATCCCACACATGGCGGGTGGATCGAGTGCAGCACGCACCAGCTTCTGGTTACTGACACATTCTCTAGGCAAGCAGCTTCTCTTTCTTACAACCTTCTGCTCCGTCTCAATATCCAACCGCTGGCAGCACAGACTGCAGATAAGAGGCGTTCGTAGCAACTTTGGCACGGTTAGAGTAAAATTGGTCACGTATGTTTAAACTCTGCATCATCTTCAGTTAGCTTTTAGACGTTATCCTCTAATTATGATCAGACGAATGCGTGCTATCTATTGCATTGTATTCAAAAACCCTCGCCTGTGAGGGGAGCGCTGCTTTGTTGGCGACAAAATGAAATAAAAAAAAACAATAAAAATCGAGTTGAGAACGTGACAAGAAATGTAAACGTGGTATGATGTTACACTATCGTCATCCTGGAAATTATGCGGTCCTGCGGTACGTCATCATGGGCCTTCCAATACCCAACCGCTGGGTTGCGCTCACACATTGAGGCATCCGGCATACGCCCTTTGGCAAAAGGGGGGAAAGTCCTTGATCCCTGGACAATTTGGACACCAACCTTGCGGCATTGCATAGCAAGAAATAAACGTATAATTTGCATTATTCTATGAGGCCACTGCCCCCGCCCCCCGTGCTGAATTGGGCCCCTTCAATGCCGGCTTTCGCCCTTCAATGTATATTTCGCTGCCATCTTGCAAAAATACGATTCAGCAGCATGTCTCACAAAAATAACCTTTTTTGGACATCTTTTGAGACCATGACTCCTGCGCTGAAGTAAGGGAATGTTCGATAGGTGATGACAAATTGGAAAATGAAAGTTGCCGTTCCGCAAGAAGTGGGTCAAATATGGCACACATGAAAATCACGTCATACGGGAGCAAAGCCTATCGCTAGTCGCCAGGCCTATTAAAACAGCCAGTAGATGCTGCTACTGGACGTTTTTGTTCCGTCATCGCATACCTTTCTGTCATTACTTCTGGCTTGTGCCTCCTGAGACCAAATCATTAGGTCCGCATACGCGAATCGACAAAAAACGTGAAAAAAACTGCTTCTGGAGCATAATCTGCCGGCTATTTGATGGACCTGGTAACGTTCAGCCGAGGGCTGCGCTTCTGTTTCCTAGTTTTCGTGTACTCCCGATCTTGTAACTATTAAAGTGATTGTCTAATAACGCTAGCGTGAAAATGGCTAATAAGAACTGCCGAGGATGACCAGGGCAAACTATAGCTGGCGTGACAATGCATGGTGACACCAATGCCCACAGCTGTCTTACAGTAGATCGCGACCCAATGTTCTGTTTTGTTGTGCTTGCCAGATGTCGGACACTGCTGGTCAAGGCCTTTCTGCGCAGCTGATCATAGGCTTTGTTGGGTCCCACGGATTTTGCCGGCCCACCGAAGCTTCCCACGCTTGCTGTTAAATGAGTCATGCCTAGGCATTGGCACACGTAGACCAATCCAAGGCCATGGCCTGCCTCGATGAGTGACGTGGTAATAAAGGGGTGTGCGTTTCAGCCACGACGTCCACGGGGAATAGGCGTGATTGCCCAGCTCCCCAACCCTAATCTTTACGTCGCGGATTTGGCTCTGGTCTTCTGGCAAGGTTCCAGAAATGATAAAATCAGGGAGCAGTGGAGACAGCCACCTCATCTTTATGACAGTACCGCGTTAGCCCATGGCGTTACGCGGACATTTGCCCTTTTGCTTCACATCGGCCGTCAATGCCGGGATCCTTAAACTCGTTGCGCAATTCCGGTGGTGAAATCTCTCCCTCGCATTGTGTTACCGTGCCATGTCGCTTGTCGAAACCGACCGTCAGTGCCAGCCGTGCCTCTCCGGTACTTTCCCCCTCTGACGTCAGAAACACAGCTCTCATCTGCTGACAATGTTAATAGTGGCTTCCCTCCCGCTTATTTCGGACGCGCCATATCTCACTGTACTGATAGCGCTGCATGAATATGATGTGCCCTTTCCCACCGATGCCAGCTCAGTTCCCCCACCCCCCACCCCACTAAGATCAACTGTGCCGTCACAATGCTATATGAATGTGATGTGCCCTCTACCCACTGATGCCAGTTCTGTTCCCCCTACCCCCATCCCGCTGACGTCAGCTGTGCCGTCACAACGCTACCCTCTACCCACTGACTACCCTGCTCCTCTCTCTCCTGCTAACGTCAGCCGCGCCTCCTCCCCCACTGACGTCAGCCGTGGCTCCCCTCCCGCTGATGTCAGCGTCTCCTCCTCCACTGGCGTCAGCCGTGCCTCCCCTCCCGCTGATGTCAGCGTCTCCTCCTCCACGGGCGTCAGCCGTGCCTCCCCTCCCGCTGATGTCAGCGCCTCCTCCCCACTGACGTCAGCCGTGCCTCCTCCCCCACTGACGCCGCCGCGCCTCCTCCCCGCTGACGTCAGCCGTGCCTCCTCCCGTGCCGACGTCGGTGTCGGCCGCGTCTCTCGGCGCGCGGGGCGGTCCTCGTTAGCCGCGCCGCATACCGTCGGCTCGAGTGACAGCGGCCGCCAGCCGTCAGAAATCCACTTACCTAGCGCGTGCTGCGCCGACACAAATAGAGACGAATGTGCGGCGAATGTGCGGCGAGGGCCGTCACCGTCGGCGGCGCGAGGACGGGCGCGTCGGCCATGTCTGGGCCCGGCCCGGCACGACATGGCGACGGGGAGGCGCTGGCCCGGCTCCAGAGAAACCCACGGATTGGGTGAACCCATGGGTCTGCATGTCGAATGATTAGCGAGTGAAATTAGTGAGTGAGAGAAAAACCTTGCTTCAGCACCAGAAAGCATGTGGTGAATTCGCGGCACATCCAGCTACGAGGTAAAAGCAAAGGCAAAAAGGAAAACAAAAGGGAAATGCGCGTAAGATAGTTTTAGAAAGACTTGAAAGGAACTCACAGCAAAAGTCAACAAATAATATCGTGGTAAGGAACACCCCGGGAATTAACTTACAGTCGTTCAGCATGAGTTAGAATATATCAGTCGCATGGGTCAGGGGACATTTACCTAGGAGCCTCATGCTAGTCCTGGACTCCTGAGATTGAT